CCTGCCTTCCTCCCTGGCCGCCCTCGGCTGTGTCTCAGGGTGAAGGGAGTCTCTGCTCGGCTGCGGGCCCGCCCGGGCCAGCTCCTCTCTCCGGGATACGCTCCCTCTCGCCCAGGGGGAAGGGGCCAGGGCAGAACCCGCCCAGAGGCAGGACTGCGCTGCTCCAGCTCCCCTGGACATTGTCCTTCCCAATCTGGTAGGTGAGGGGTTGGAAAAGCGAGTCCCTAAACAGAGAGAGATTGAGACTAGATGTGAAAAATGAATTGTACGTGAAATACATGTCCAGTAAAAGCGGAAATGAAGAAATGAAGTGAAAAGAGGAGAATGTTGTTCATGTCGAGGACTTCGTGTGTAAGTCATAGGGAAGAAGGAATTTTTTTTTCTTCTCACAAACACCTTCATTTTTTATTTTTTTATTGAATTTATTGGGGGGACATTGGTTAATAAAATTATATAGGTTTCAGGCGTACACTTCTATAGTACATCATCTGTATATTGTACTGTGTGTTCACCACCCAAAGTCAAGTCTCCTTCCATCACCAATTATCCCCCTTACGCTCTCCTACCTCCCCCAGCCCCTTCCCTCTGGGAATCACCACACTGTTGCCTGTGTCTATCAGTTGTTGTTTCTTCATCCCTTCACCTTTTTCACCCAGCCTCCAACCCCCCTCCCCTCTGACAGCTGTCAGTCTGTTCTCTGTATCTATGAGTCCGTTTCTGTTTTGCTTGTTAGTTTATTTTGTTCATTAGATTCCACATATAAATGAAACCATATGGTACTTGTCTTTCTCTGCCTGGTTTATTTCATTTAGCATAATACTCTCCAGGTCCATCCATGCTGTTGGAAAAGCTAAGACACCCTTCTTTTTTATGGCTGCGTAGTACTCCATGGTGTAAATGTCCCACAGCTTTATCCACTCATCTACTGATGGACACTTGGGCTGCTTCCAGATCTTGGATACTGTAAATAACACTGCAGGACTTTGTTTTTTAAAACATTTTTTATTTTTCACTGTTTTTTGTTTTTTAT